ACTACTTTCAGATTTTATTTTTCTGTCTAATGTCCGGAGCAGATGAAATCCTTCCCTGCCTCACACTCAGGACTATGAAGGTCACATATTAGTAAAAGTCCATCAGTGTTTGTGGAGTTCATAAATGAATGATTTTTTTTTTTTTTTTTTTTGACAGAATCTCCCTCGGTCTCCCAGACTGGAGTGCAGTGGCACAATTTTGCAACCATTGCTTTCCGGGTACAAGTGATCCTCTCACCTCAGCCTCCCGAGTAACTGGGTTTCAGGCACCTGCCATCATGCCCGGCTAGTTTTTGTATTTTTGTAGAGACGGGGTTTCACCTTTCTGACCTGGCTGGTCTTGAACTCCTGACCTCGGGTGTTCTACCTGCCTTGTCCTTCCAAAATGCTGGGATTACAGGTATGAGCCACCTTGCCTGGCCTGGAATGAATGAATTCTTGACTTCCACCCTATCCCTAACACTGTCAATTTCTTGATTCCTGAAATTAATATGGATATCTGATATGAATGGATGTCTGATTCAATCCATTAATCTGGGGAAAGCCAAAAACGCAATCAGGATTAACTGGGTGGAACTTCAGAAATGCAATCAGATATCACGTTTTGATTGGAAGTTAGCAGTGGATAAGTGGAGAGGCGTGGGTGGGAGTTGTTATGAGAAAGGTCAATAAAAGCTTCTAAAGACCCAGAGGAGAGACCCAAAGTCTTCAAGTCTGGAGTTACTGCTTGGTTCTTCCTGAGGTCTGAGCACCCTGCAAACTCAGTCCACATCGGTAAGTCCCTAATTTCTGTAAGGACACTCCCATCTGACCTACAGTCAGCCCGTTTGGGATGGTGGCAGTGCAGCCTACGATGGCATAGAGCAATATCTATCTTTTTTTTTTTCATATGAACAATTCGAAACTTTGAATTTTTTCTTCTAAATGCAGTTTTGTCTTTATTTCAAAAAATGTGATTGTGCTTTGGTTTATGTCATTTCATAATTCTTGATGGGAGCAGTGACTCATGCCTGTTACCTCAACATTTGGGAGGCCAAAGTGGGGGGATATTTTGAGCCCAGGCATTTGGGACCTAACTGGGCGACATGGCAAAAACCCATCTCTACAAAATATTATTTTTTGGAGGGGGCAAATGGAGTCTCACTCTGTTGCCAAGGCTGGAGTGTAATGGCACGATCTCGACTCACTGCAACCTCCACCTCTCAGGCTCAAGCAATTCTCATGCCTCAGCTTCTTGAGTAGCTGGTATTACATCCATCTGCCACCCTGCCTTGCTAATTTTTGTATTTTTAGTAGAGGTGGGGTTTCACCATGCTGGCCAGGTTGGTCTCGAACTCCTGACCTCAAGTGACCCACCTGACTTGGCCTCCTAAAGTGCTACAATTACTGCTGTGAGTCAGTGGTGCTCTTCCTCTACAATTTTTTTTTTTTTTAAATTAGCCAGGCATGGTGGCATGCATCTGTATTCCCAGTTATTTGGATGGCTGAGGTGGGAGAATCACTTGAGCCCGGAAGATTGAAGCTGCAGTGAGCCATGCTCACACCACTGCTATATTCTAGCCTAGGCAACAGATTGAGACCCTGTTTAAAAAAAAAAAAAAAAAAATTCTCCACAAAAGAGGATCTTTGGCCTTAATTTTAAAGCAATTACATCCTCACTGTAACTCTTTCACCTGAATGGAGACATGGGTATGGGGGTGCACACCTGTAATCCCACCTACTTGGAAGACTGAAGTATGAGAATCGCTTGAACCTGGGAGGCGGAGGTTACAGTGAGCCGAAATGGTGCCACTGCACTCCAGCCTGGGCGACAAAGTGAGACTCAGCTCTCCCACACCAAAAAAAATTAAATTATACCACCCAGGTGATCATTGGATACATGAAGATTTCTACTGTGTTTCCCTAGGGACTGTCATGTCTGTCTTTGTAAAACTATTTTAACTCTGAAATATTTTGATAAATGTGATGTGGCCAAGGATCTCTCAACAAATATACTTTCAGATTTTTTTTTTTCTGTCTAATGTCAGGAAGAGATTTGACCCTTCTCTATCTCACACTTAGGACAATGAAGGACACATTAGTAAAACTCCATGTTTGTGGAGTGAATCAGTGAATGAGTCCTGGACTTTCACCTTATCCCTAAACCTTTCATTTTGGTGGATGAATATCTAATTCCATCAGTTAATCTGGAAGAAAGCCAAAAATCCAATCAGGATTATCTGGGTGGGGCGTAAGAAGTCTAGTCAAATGGAATTCTCTCTCTCTCTTTTTAAATCTAGCCTATTTCCCAGGTTGGAGTACAGTGGTATAATCTCAACTCACTGCAACCTCTGCCTCCTGGGTTCAAGCGATCCTCCTGCCTCAGCCTCCCTAGTAGCTTGGACTAGAGGCACACATCACTGCACCTAGCTAATTTTCGTAAATTTAGTAGAGGTAGGGCTTTACCATGTTGGCCATGCTGGTCTCGATCTCCTGACCTAAGATGATCCACCTTCCTCTGCCTCCCAAAGTGCTGGGATTACAGGTGTGAGTCACTGCACCCAGCCAAAGTGGTTCATTTTTAAGATGTGTAAGAGGTGTGTATTGGAAACATCTGTGTCTTGGGAATGATGCATAACACCGTCGCATAGCTTTCAAAGCTTCTCACTGAAGTTTTCAATAATGAGGCTGGGCACAGGGTCATGCCTGTAATCCCAGCACTTTGGGAGGCCAAGCGGGGTGGATTGTTTGAGTCTAGGAGTTCAAGACTAGCATGGACAACAATTGTGAAACCCACTGTCTTTACAAAAAGTCATCAAATAAAAGATTAGCTGGGCATGAGATCTGAACTTCACATTTCCCAGTGCTATGAGTTTAGTGGAGCAGTGGCTAATAATCGTGGACTAGGAAAGATCTTGCCTGCTCTTTAGAGGTTGGGACACACTCTTCTTGGTATCAGAAGGGTAGAACTGTGTCTCTGTGGTCACTTATTACAGAATGGAATTGGAGTAATCTGAGGGCTTTTTCACACATGATGAAGAAATGACTTTGGCCCTAGAAGTGGGGGTTGCAGGGGATTGGCCTGAGAAACTTGCGTTTTCGCTGAATTGCCCTCTAGAGATTTTCCTTGCAGGTTTGTCAGAATGAGCCTCCAGTCCCCATCCAGACTCCTGGAGCTGGC